CCAGCACCCAGCACGGAAGCTGGCCGTGGCAAGGCCCCCGCCGACTGAGCCGCTCCGTCTGCCTGCTCCCCCGGGAGTGGCTCCCCGGGCCCCTCTCCACGCTTGGCTGTGTCCCCATGTTCTGTGGCCCCGAGCCCCTCTGGCCTTGCTCTGGCCATGTGTCACGCTGGACAGGAAGCGGGTCCCACAGCTGGAACCCTGACTGTGCCAGCACGGAAGCTGGCCGTGGCAAGGCCCCCGCCGACTGAGCCGCTCCGTCTGCCTGCTCCCCCGGGAGTGGCTCCCCGGGCCCCTCTCCACGCTTGGCTGTGTCCCCATGTTCTGTGGCCCCGAGCCCCTCTGGCCTTGCTCTGGCCATGTGTCACGCTGGACAGGAAGCGGGTCCCACAGCTGGAACCCTGACTGTGCACCTCTTCCACGCCTCTGCTGGTGGATGTAGGTTTTTTTTTTCTTTAAGTGTCTTTAAGTTAATTTTGGTAATTTATATTGTCTTAGAAAATTGTCAGTGTCAAGAATATCGAATGTATTGACTTGTCACTTTTAATCTCCGCTGCTCTGGCTTCCCTCCTCCGTGGTCCTCATGGGCTTTGTGTTTTCTCTCTCTCTGCTGATTTTATAAATTTATTTATTTATTTATTTAGACGAACCAGCTCTTGGATTTACTGATGGGCTCTCCCATTTTTCTTGTTTCCAATTCATTAATTCCGCCTTTATCTTTATCCCTCCCCTCTCCTGCCTCCTGTGGATTTACTTTATTGTTCTGTTTTTCTTTTCTTGTGTCGAATGTTTAGTTCATTTATTTTCAGTTGCTCTCGCTCAGTAATAAAAACATTAAGGTTGTGAATTCTCTGCCAACTCCTCCTGAAGCGGCTTAGAGGACTGCAGTTTCTCTTCCCGTATAATTGTAAAATTGCCTGTCATGTGTGTTTTATTTACTCTCTGACCTGGGAATTATTTAGGAGAGTATCTGAATTTTCAAACCACCTAGCTTCTTTTTTAAGATCCTTTTATGAACTTTTAGGCTCTCCACATTGGTTTAAATAATAAGGCTTGTAAACGTCTTGCTGTTTGGGATGTGGGGAGGGGTATGAGTGTGTGCAGTGCACCTACATGTATACACATAGATGTGCATCAATGTGCCAGCGTGCATGCATGCTGTGCAAGGGTGTACCTGCACCTGCGTGTCTTCCTGGGGCCTGCATGCGCATACCTGTCTCTGCATGTGGGTCTATGTGTGTACAAGGGGATATTGCATGTATATGCTTGTGTAGGTGTGTGCCCATGTACAAACCTTGCCTGTATGCGTGTACGTGCAAGCTCCGAGTGTGGCTGGGGTGACTGTTCCTGTGGGGCGCAGGGCCTGTGAGCACAGCAGCCCGCTCTGTGGCACAAGTGGGAGGCCCCACTCACCCTGGTTCCGGCTGTGTCCCCGTGGCAGCTTTAGGCACCACATGAGGCAGGCAGTCTGCACATCACGTCTGGCCTGGAGCTGGAGTCCCCATCTGTGCTCCTGGGGACACCCCTGCCTTGTTGGGGCTGCATGTGAGGGTGGCAGTGCTGTAGGCCATGCTTTTGCAGTTGGGAGGGAAGAAGGATGCCTTCAACCCGTCACTGGGTTGGTGCCACGGGCTGTCCTTGGCTGAGAGGGCTTGTCCTGTTTCTGGCAATCTTCCGCTCTCAGGGGCCCAGGAGATTTTCAAACAGAGCCTTCAATTCCATTCAATTCATTACAATCATGAATGGATGTGGAACTTTGATTTTGAACTTTGATGTCTTTATTCACCACTTGAAATGATTATATGACACCCCTCCTCTAATGTGTACATCAGTCAGCTTGAGGGGCCAACCCAAAGGCTAGGCTGAGGTGGTGGGAGCTGATGCTCACAGTCCTGGAGGTGAGGTCTGAGGTAGGTGTTACAGGCTGTTCCCCGAGGCCTCTCCCTCGGGGTGTCTCCTCCCTGAGTCCTGTGTGGTTGTCTCTGTGTGTGTCTGGGTCCTGTGTCCTCTTCCTGTGTGGCTTATGCCCTACCCTTCAGGCTCCACTTAGCCTAACCAGCTCTTTAAAGACCCCAGTTCCAAATAGTAAACTTTTTTTTGGAGGGGGAGGTTTGAGACAGGGTCTCACTATCTAGTTCAGATTGCCCTGGAACTCACTGTGTAGCCCAGGCTGGTCTTGAACTCACAGCGATCCTCCTGCCTCAGCCTCCAGATGCTGGGATAATAGGCATGCCTGGCTAAACATTTTTAAATTGTAGTAAAATATACACTATGAAATAGTCTCCATCCCTGGCACTGGAAATTGAATTAAGGCCTTTGGACTAAATTGCCTCCTCAGCCTTTAAAAAAAAATTAACATTTTCTGAGACAAGGTTTCACTACATTGCCCAGGATGTGCTCAAAATTTCGATCCTCCTGCCTCAACTTACCCAAATTTGCCACTGTTATGTGTACAAGTTGGTGGCTGTAAGCATGTTCATGTCCTGCAACCAGCACCACCATCCCTCTCCAGAATGTTTGCATGTCCTGAAACTCTGTCCTGACTGAGTACTGGTCAGTTCCGTTAGGGCCCTTGCAGCTGCCCTTCTGTCTCTCTGGTTGTGACCTGCAGGGGACTTTGCCTGAGGGACTTACACAAGGTTTGACCTCTGCGACTGGCTTGTTGCTCTTGCATCCTGTTGTAGCGGGTGTCAAAATGTCCTTTCTATTAAAGCTGCACAATATCCCAACAGGCGTGCATGCCTTATCAGCTTACCCATCACCAGTGGACATTTGAGTTGCCCTGCTCTTTGGTTATTGTGAATCATACTGCTCTGACTATTGGTGTAAAAATAGCTTTTATGTATGTACTAGAGATTAGGAATTCAACCCAGGGCCTTCATCCCCAGCCCTTTATTTTTCATCTTGAGACAGGGTCTAAGGCACTGAGTTGCCCAGGCTGGACTTGAATGTGCAGTTCTTCTGCTTCAGCCTCCCAAGTAGCCAACTTTATAGGCATATGTCACCACACACGGCTCCTTTTTAAATTTTTTATTTTGAGTCAGAGTCTTGCTAAGTTGCCAAGTTTCCCAGCCTGGGTTAGAACTTGCAGTTTACCTGCCTCAGTCTCCCAGAATTCTGGGATTATAGGCATAAGCTACCATACGTGTCCTAAAAAAATCTTTTTGAGACCCTGTTTTTCTATTATTTTGGGGATATACCAAGAAGTGGGGTTGCTAGATGTCTTAGTTACTTTGTCACTGAGATGCAGTGTCCAACATCCACAAGTTAGAGGAGGAAAGGTTTATTTTTAACCCCTAGTTTGTGGAGGTTTCAGTCCATAGTTGGCTGGCTTCAGGGCAGGGCTGCATGGTGGAGGAGAAACAGTCCATGGCAGGGCGGAGAGGAAGTGGCAGCAGCGTCCTTTTCCTTTTACTCCATTCAGGTTAAGCCTGTCTGTTAACACATCCAAGGGGGACCTTCCCATCACACACACCTGGAACTATGCTAAAACAGAGAACTGATGCAGTTATCACATACCCTTAATCTATATTTGCATACCCTAGATTCAGCAACCTCTGAAAAGCTCCACCCATGAGTGCATGGAGGTTGTGGGGCATCTAGATAAGTCATGACCTGGTTCCACAGTAATTGTGTTTTTTAGTTTTTCAAGGAACTAACACTGTTGGCCACAATGTCTATACCACTGTCCACTGCCACCAACAGTCCAAGTGGGTGCCAGTTTATCCAAGTCTTTACCTACATTTCACACTT